CATGTAAAAAGGACGGGGGTGCTCGTCGGAAATTTTGAGAAGAACCTTTAAGAGGCACCAAGATCCCGTTTTGTGGGTGTGGATTGGAACTTTTTTCTCCCCTAAAAGATACCAATTCTTACAAAACACATCTCCTGTCATATTTTAACGACTCAATACCCTAAAAGGTACCATAAAAGCTTCCGCTGTGGACGTTTTGAAGCTCAACACCCTTACAGGTACCAAAAACCGCTTTTTGAACTCCTAAAAGGTACGAGGAGCACCCCGTCCATTTTATATGTGAGTCCCCCCCCCCCGCCCCCCTTCGGGGGTACTGGTCTGTATTCTTGTCTAAAGCGCACGCGCTCTACGTGTTCAACAGAGGTCAGGTGATATACGCGGCCCCTCTGAAAAAATCACGCGAGTTCCCCGACTGTCGTTAGCTCCCGTTACAATGATTTTGAGTTTAAGGCTGCTTTTAATTGCCCGCAAACGATGTGAAGACTGGTTGGATTTGCACTCTTTTGCAGACTATTAATCCTTCTCTCTGATATGGGTAAACAGACAAAGAAGTAATAGATTTAAGTTTCTATGTCAACAGATGTCACAGAGATGGGGTCATTTCCGTGAGGTCTAGAGAACGTAATAGGCAAAAAGCGTCTAAATTTAAATAAAAAAATTGAAAGACAGTAGTGACGATAGGAAAAAAGTCACAAAATCAGTTGATCGTGTATTCGTATAAAGCACAATAGTTTGAGATGTCGGGGATCGAAATAGCCGATAGTAAGTATTCTCCCGTAGTTATACTTTTTCAGTCAGCAAGGGTTTTGAGATAACAGAGTTTGAGAAAGTGAGGTTTCTCCTGTACGTTATCAACAAGCATTTTACCGGGACCCGTTTAGGGAACTGACTATAATAGCAAGATGTTGTTATTTCAAAGCCAAATTCAGAAGTGCCTGTCTTAAGAGCCCGCGCTCGAATTTCCAGCGGGACATAATCAAGGGAAAGTGAGGGGACAGAGAGTGACATTGAGGGCGCTGGCTGGGATAAGACGATTCGTTATTGTTAGTTTTTTATAAGCACCCCACCACAGACGTGTTTCTCACCTGACTATAATTCCAGAGTAGTTTCTATTCACTTCATTCAGTTCAGTACTGGACTTTTCACTAATTATACTGCATCAAAAAAAAAAAAAAATTAACTAAAAAAATGCTAATATTAGCCTGCGAACAGGCTCCCGGCGAGGACGGAAAAAAATTTCGGCAAGCGCGATACAGAAGAATTCGGAGAGCGAAGCGATCGGGGCGGGGACAGGGTTCCGGCTCACCGGGAGCCTGTTCGCAGGCTAATCGCAAAGATATATCACACCCTACAACCCCCCAACTCCAAAAGAATTCCTTTCCAACCCCCGATCGCTTTACAGGTACTTTAAAGATGCTATTCAGATCGATTTGAAGCTGCTAATAAAATTCATTTAGTCAAAACAAATGTAGACAACGCAGCAATGTCTCAGTGCATGTATAAAACCGAGAGGAGCATAAAATGTGAAACATGAACCTCTCTTAGCCCAACATGCGGGGTGCAATGTTTAACACCTTCGCAAATTTATCTTTGCAATTACTTTGTAGGTTACGCAAGCATTGCCTAATTGTATGAACATTTGTGATATAAACGATCAATGCAAGGCTTACCCTGTTCAAACTGCAGCGGAGACATGGTTGGACACAGCGAACCACAGCGACCTGTTTCGGTGAGTTTTTACACGGTCTTTTATTTTTGATATCAACACTGCAGTGATGATGTGCCTAAAACATTTCACACCTCGAGACGGTTTTTTGGTGTTGTTGTTGTTGTTTTCTTTCACGTTTTCGAGACGTTGAGTTCTCAAGAACTGCTTAATTGGCCTCGTTTTTCAAACGTTACATCTCGATATATAGACTCCAGTGAGGAAAAAGCTAAATGTCTTAGATTTTCCAGTAAACATTTGGACTTCGACTCAATGTTATTTGTCAGGAGGCGTTACCAACGTCGTTCCTTCGACGGCATTCCTTTGACTTGGTTAAAATCTTGTTCTCATCAAAGTTACTCGACTCTAAACATTAATCACAAAAGACGCAAAATTCTTGTTAGACCACTTGAGAATGAAAACTTCCTTAAAAACTCTGTTTGCCTTTTCTCGTGACCAGGGGTCACCGCAAATCCCACCCGAATGTACAAAGACCAACGTCGTGAATGGACGTCATGCGAAATGTAACATGATATTTCAGAACTTAAGTTCGATATCGCTGATTCTCTTCTGATGTAAACGGCATTGCCGTTGGACGTGCGCTGCTAAAGTGAAAAACAAACATTGCTACCGCACAGCGAAGAATCATTGCTCATGTAAAAATACAAAGAAGTACAGTACCATCAACTTTGTAGCGTGAATGTTCCGTTGCATGCTGTACTAAATTCTTGCGTCATTCTCCCCACCACTGGGCACACCCGCTAACTCTGTTTGGTTTCCACTTGCTACATCCTCAGGGTGCCAGGGTCAAAATTTCAAGCGTGGTTGCCGGTTTCGGTCAAGCCTTTTTATTGTGACCCGCGGGAAAAGCGGTCTCTTGCCGACCGGGACGACCTCAGTGAAATAACCCGCTACACGCAAGAACAAACCTCTGGCATCCAGGGGAGCCCGTTGCAGGCTTGGTTCAAATTTTGTTAAACATACAGAAGGGCGACATAAGCTGGAAAGACCACTAAATAAGATGTTCTGCTATCATGCAATGGCTTATACATATTTCAGAAGAAGTGTAGAGCTTCACGGAACAAAAGTGTATTTGACATTGATGGGCATACATCTCGCTTTAGAAGTGTTCTCCATCAGGATTGAAAGAGAGGCCCATCTGCTGTGTAAGGACTGTAAGATGAGGATGAGAGGGACTGGGTAGGGCATCTCAGACTAACAATTTGGTCAACTGTAATGCTGAACAAAACACCAAACCCTAAGCAACCAAGCTATCATTTTTTGGGTTTCCTATGATGACGTTTCGGAAATCATCGTGAAACAGACGATGACGTTCCTTCTGAACTGATTTCTGTTCTGGATAAGTTGGTTGTCCTGTGGGATTATTGTCACGTGATCTTGAGGTTCACGTGTTGTGTAAATGTACTTCAATAAACTCTTGAAGTTGAAGCCTGTAGACGCGTGTTTTCTCATACTCATAACAATTTCAATCTATGCAGTAGAATCAAAACCTGATTTTAGTACTGCAGGCTTATTCTTGTTTAGTGTCCCTTAGTCCGCCAGGGCTAAACACTTTCACACTTTTAAAGGTTCTTATTCTTATTCGTGGTATATATGTAAGTCAAACCCGCAAACATACCATTTTGACTTTTGTCTCTGTCCCAGTCCCTTCCGCGGGTGATACCTCTCAATGTAGGTGGATATAGCTTTGTGACTACTCTGTCGACGCTGACCAAAGACAAAGACTCCATGTTGGCAGCCATGTTTAGCGGACGTCATGAGCTGGACACGGACAGCGAGGGGAGGTACTTCATTGATCGCGATGGAACCTACTTCAAGTACATACTGAACTATCTTCGAGACAGAAAGCAGTTACCGTCAGCCGATATAGCACTTGAGGTAAGAACTAGACCTGAATATAATGATGATTACGTGAAACTACCTGTGTTACCTCAAGCCCCTTCCCCATTTTTTTTTGGGGGGGGGGGTGGGGGGCGGATATTTCGGATTCAGGCAGTTTCCGAGTAATAGAGGAAAATTAAACAGCATACATGATGATTCAAACTGACCATAACAATGAAATCAATATTCCACACTGAATATTGCTAATGTGGTTTCAAAGAATTGTCTTTTTTTTTCTGCTCTTCGCCCCTAACCCGTTCCACACCCAGACTGCACGAAAACTATTGTTGAGAATGTCACTATGTCTGTTGCCCTGAGCATAGTGTCAATTGCATATTATTGCAGGTTTACAAAGAAGCGCAATTCTACCAAATAGAAGGATTGATCGGAACACTAGAACGTTTCTCCAACGTCTTTGCGCACAAACTGGAAGATGCAAGGAAATCGAAGCTCGGGAGTGATTTCGAAAAGTGGCAACAACAAATAATCACGTGCGCACAGAGCAAAAGCCTGCAAAACCTGACATCCACCAGCAAGGTGAGCTTGCTGTCACTAGAGGACCACAAGAAAATCATGGAGTGCGGAGACTGCGTGGGCCCGCATGCGCACAACCTCGTGGTCTCCAAACCGGCTAAACAGGGCGTGATTCATCATCAGGAGACATTTGATTACGTGCAACGACGGTTTAAAGAAACAGATTTGGTCATTTGCATTTTGACAAATGCCGAGATGAAAATGTTCATCAGCATGACGGAGGCAGATTTGAAGAACAGTGGCTACTGCTGTAGTTTCCGCGAAGAGAAAATCCGCTGTAAGAATATCAAGCTGCATTATGGGATCGGAAAGGAAGAGTGTCGCTTTAACGTGACAGAACATGTGGTCGAGTTTGAATGGTAATTTGAAATGACGCCATTGGCGACAAATTAAATGTGTAGACTGTTTATAGTCCCCTGTTTCACCGCGAGTTTCGTTTCGACGTCTTTCACATGGCGAGTGCAACCAGGGGTGAATATTAATTCTACCAAGGGGGTGAGGCAGGTTTAAGATAGGCCCGAAAAATACGCCCCTACCCCTTCCCCCTATGCTCTCTACCCTGACGCCCACCCCTTGGTAACTTTACTACTGAACTCTCCCAGGTTGTTCTCGTCATACGAAAGCAAGAGAAAGGAATTTTATAGTCTAACGGAAATATTATAAGGTATAGCTGGAAATAGTGAATTGTTAGTTACTTTTTACATTAAATCCAACTATTCAGATATTAATTCTCCTAACAATATCAATAGAATGTCGAGCTGACAGGTTATGAGAATACACAAAATCATCAACTATGGATAACAGAGACCTTTATACATCCGATTACGAGATTTAAGAACACGCTAGCCGGCAAAATGTCATTGGTTCACATGCGTGCAGGGTTACCATGTTTTCCTGCCAAAACGACACTGTTACACATGCGCGTAGAGTCCAGGCAAAAATAATGTTGGCTTTAATATAGCGCGGACACTTATCATGTTTGTCCTGCAACAATTGTTTCAAACGCGCGAAAGGGTAACAAGTCTTTTCCCGCCAAAATGGCACTGCTCCACACGCGCGTACGTTTTTACCATTACAGTCGAACCTCGATTATCCGTTCCTAGATTATCCAGATTTCTCGATTATCCGGACATTTTCTCTGGTCCCAATTTTGTCATGAATATTTATTGGTTATGATCAAGATCCGTAGCAATATTCTTTTTAAAACTATAGCATTGAAAAGTGCAGTCGAAAACGAGTTTGTTTTGCTTTTAAAGAGCAAAAGCAGCTAATGAAGAACACTCGAATGAGTTCTGATTAGCCAAGAGTTGAGCGGTTCAAGATACAAAGTAGACCATATTGTTTTCCAAACGATTTGTAAAAGTGTTGTTTCACGATTAAATATTGCTTTACTTAAACAGTTTTGTTCGTCATTGACATTCATATTTTCGATTATCCGGACCCTCGATTATCCGGAGTATTTGGTCTAGTCCCAACGAGTCCAAATAATCGAGGTTCGACTGTAGTAGATAACATACAATACTTGCAAAAAATTTCGGACGTTAAAATTTCTATTGTATCTTTTGTCTTCGTGAACTACATACTCAGAGACAGTACGAGAGAAAGTTTAAACAACACGAATTCGTATGTACACAAAGTACGATTTTATTATACAGTCATTCACTACCGTTGATGGTGTTTTGTGAGGAAGAAAGAAAATAGGGAGATAGTATAGTTAATGTACTTACATATAAGAGTAAGTTATCAAAATAATTTATTAGTATATTTCAGAGATAAAGTATTGTCTTTGCACAGAAAGAGTAAAGATATATGATACATTTAAACATCAAAGTTGTAAATTAAAAATATAATAGATATATTTATTTGGTTGCCCAGATTGATGTCGTTGTCAATTCAAAACTATTTTTAAAATATTATTATATGTGTCATAGATACTCTTTAGAACAGAACGTCGAAAATAAAATGGATTTAATGTGCTGCTGCTAATTTATTGTATTTGTACCTAAACGTACTTAAAACAGCTAGTAAGCAGTATCCTTGACTTGGCGTGAGAGAATAAACGGTACCGTTATTTATCCGCAGTCACTATCTGTTCCGAGAAGAAAACAGTTGTGAGAGGGAAGCTACAAGAAGACTCAAAAGTTTGAAAAAGAGATGAAATATTACACCAGTGCTACCTTTTAACCCTCTTTTGCATTTTCCTTACTTTAGAGATTGCTTGGAATTGTGAAAAAAGAATATCTAAACCAAAATTTTTCCCTTGGTTATGCTAACAGTGTTGGGTAATGGCTGGCACCCCTTACTGGCCTTACGAGTTTCCCATCCAGTTATCTACAAATTTATGCTTTCAGTTCAGTTTCTGTTTCTCGCAATCTCGTTCCCAGAGTCTTCGTTCCCCTTGACCAGCGGTCGAGAAACGAGATCTCTGAGAGCAACCATTTCGGGCATGCGCCATAGATGCAGACTGCGCAGTGAAACCGGATGGGCAGAATCACCAGAATTCGGTTATTTCAAAATGGTTGCTCCCAGTGCTCTCGTTTTCCTACCGCTGGTCAAGGGGAACGAAGACTCTAGGAACGAGATTGTGTTTCTCGTGGAAGCTATGTACAATGGACATGCTCAAACTTAAATCAGTTCGTTTTTCAAGGAGGATGTTGAGAGAAATATATCTGAAATATTTGTACAAAAGGTCGCTTTGTTTTGAATTTATCTGCAAAGCTATCAAATATTATAGTATACTAGTCTGTTCAAACCATTCAGTTCTTTTCAGTTGAACAATGAATTTTGAACGAGAACTGAACGCTTGAACGAAAACGTTTAACTTTAAAATTGCTGTCATCGCTTGGGAATATTTTCAGGTAAACACCCCGCGTTTTGGCTGCCGGCGTTACATGCCGCACTTGATACTAAATAGGCGCAAACGAAAAAATAACGGACAGCAATTCATGACACTTTGTCGTTGTAATTTTGCGAGCGACAAGATTACTTTCAAATCGAAAGATTAAGGTTTACGTTGGTGAAGAAGCCCAACAAAGAGGTAAGGAACATAGACGACCGGTTTTCCTGCAGGTCATCAAGCTTGAAAAATTTACTCTTAGTTAAGATTTGCTCTGAGCATCCGCAAGGTCCTTGGAATGTTAAAGCATCTTCGCCGACCGGGACTTATCGGAAAAAAGCCGAGCGCAGCACGACATATCACGAAGATTATCATATTCGTCGGAAAAAGTTCGGGACATCGTGTAAAACAAACTTTTATATGTATAACTGAGAACAAAACAAGAGCGCGATATTTTAGTTGTTATTTACACTGTCGGTTACATCTTAGTTTCTTGCCCGCTTGTAACATGTTTTTTCTCTTTCCCTTTCTTTGCTTTTGAGCTCGTCTTCCTCAGTGATCTCAGTAAGACATAATTTATATACTTTGTGTAGTGGTGGGACACGAAGGGAATGTAATACGCTCTGAAAAGTCGGTGAGATCTGAAAAGAAAACAAGCAGCTTTGTTTTAGACCAATAATGCGTCACACAAGACAGATACTGCACTTGGAAAGTGTTTCAGGTTTAAGGGCCCATTTAACCTCGTTCCCAGGAGTATGAGAGATCCTGGGAACGAGGTTGCGTACACATTTCGTTTGATTGTAGATCAGGAACCACAGTTATTGGCCTTAAAAATTAATAATTAATTTTGAAGCTGGACAATTTTTTTTGGCCGAGAACGCAGCACAGCATTTCTCTAGAAATAACAGGGACTTTGTATCCTGCATTATCAAGTGACCATTGTCTCCTCAATTTGAAAATCACAACCACCATTTTAAACCGGCGACAAGGGAGAACCCGTTAGATTGGTAGGACGGTCGAATGTGTCGTAAGCCTGGCGGCAACAAGATGACGTCGCACCGAAAGTCTCCATTGAAACGACAAAAAAGCGAAAGACACTCGGGGAAAAAAGTGAATATGAAATGGAAGGAAACGTTCTTAGAATACTGATGAAGCTCTAGCCCGCACACAGTCAGCGGGACAAGCGCCCCTTTCGCTAAATTGCCCTTAAAGCAACCCGATGGTTTTCCATGCCCTCAACCAGTCAGAACAATGCACGAAAATTCGAAATCACAGCGAGCGCATACACGTCAGCTTGTGGTAATCTGGTTGCTAAGCAACCTCTTTTACGAAAATCGCGGTCTCAGAAAAAGAGAGGCGAGGCTTTAAACTAAATAAAGCAGCGCATTACGTACCTTTCTGCATCTAGAAATGGCTTTTTAAGCACCACTTCCCAGTCTTTCGTTCGTTTAACAAAGTTTGGTTCACGTTCGGTTTCTCTCTGTGTCTCTAAATCCACAAGGAAGTCGCATTTTGTGATAGATATCTGTTGCAACAAAGTAACACACTTTTTGAATTAACGATCTTTACCAATTTTCACCAAATGAAGGAAAACAAGTTAATCATGTCGTACTTATAGTACAAAGTAGGCCTCTGCGGCTCGCATAAATATGACAAAACCTAATACATTAGAGTCTTTACAGTTGGTATTTTGTGCTGAATCCTTCATTAGGTCGATAAAACCTGATGAAGAGTTTAAGACTGAAGTGTAATAAATTAATTTGACACATTCACGACTTTAATAAATAATAAACAGAGTTTTGCTTGCAAAGTACTTACATATCTTGTAGTCTCTTCTTTATTCATGTCGTTCATGTGTGTAGGAATAATTCTTGTGGCATTGCTTCCTTCACTGTAAGGCTTTGGTAACTGACCACGAAACTCAGAACGAATAAACTGCAGGTACCATCTAGGGTAAAGTACAACGACAATCGTAAGAATTCCTGAAATTTCTGACGATTGAGTAACGAGGTTGACGAATTAGTCAGAAATTATTATTCTGACAGCACGATGGAGGGGCTCGCGAGGTCTCATGGGACGCTTAGGGAAAATTTCAGCATTTAGCGGGAGATTTAGGTCTTTCTAGGTTAGTCAGTCTTCGTGTTCGTCCTCTTTCTTATTATTATCAAGCCTTTGTTATAACAGCTGCTATGTATAATTGAAAATATTCTACGTTACTGTTTTTGTACCCCGTCCTCGGCGTCTCATGCTGTTGCATTACATGAGGAATACGGTTTTTACTATTGAACAAAGCTTACTGAGTACCGCACGCCACCGAAGGGAAGTGCTTTTACACAGAATAATGGTGCTTTTATAGCTAGACACGACTATGGGTGTAACCAATAGAAAGCTGCCATGATGCAGATCATATTGTGANAAAAATCTATGCTAATTAAGATCAGATATCCAAACACCGTCACGGTCATGATTTCCTTTGTTTAAACTTGATGAATTATTAATGAGTTTGAGAAAGACACATGACCATGACAGTTGCATCTCACCATAGTATAATGCGCTTGATCTTGATAAAGCCAACAGCGAGAAAATAACACTGATAAAAACTGCAAACCACGTTGAAGAGGCTGAGTAATGATGCCTACTGTGACTGAAGAACATGCTATGGAACAGTTTCTGTGGAGAACATCGATAAATCATTCAGTTCATAACGAATGAATGAATGACAACTTAATAATAAATAGTAAATAATAAATCTGTACACTGACTGATTAATCACGTATTTAACAAATCTTGAGCTCAGAATTCCCCGAGACCATAATAATTTCGAGATTTCTATCGAGTGATAGCTGATGAGGGCGCAGACCAAACCAAATATACCGTTGTATACTATTGTGTACCGTTGCTTGAAGTTTTTTTTTATAAACAAGTTTAATCCTTACAGTTTACCTGCCTGTGAAAACCAATTGCCTTCCCTAGTGAAATCGTTCATGAAGCCCCCGCATTCATACCTGTGGCTTACATACCTGTACTTCTGTCAGAGTTACAGCTCCACATAAACAGATGAATGGGTAAATAGGGAACAAAAATCTCTCCTCCTAAGACAAAAAGACAGACACAATGATGAGCAGCTGACTTCTTGTACGAAATCAGCAGCTACAATGCAAAATTCATTCATTCACATGCATTCACAGCTAACGACCCCATGCAATAAATCTTCTACAGAAATTTCTGCAACTACATGTATCTGTCAATGCCTAGTTTTTGTTCATGGCAATGTTACGTGGTAGGACTGGGTACTGGAGTTGCATACATACATGTATAACATACCGTACTTAGGTATATAAACTTTTTCCTGGAGCAGTTAAACAAATTGGCATATTTGTTGTTTTGTTGTTTTCATTGTTGAACAATAGAGCAGTTCTCAATTGAGTGTCGTAAAGCCAACACAAAAACAATAGCATTACTTTACTCTCACTGGCCAACCACAAATTACACAGACAATTTAACTGAAGTTACCGGTAACCAGTCAAAACTTAAACCAAATACATGAAGCTGAATATGCCAAGACAAGCTTTTAGCCAGATGATTTCCAGGCATCCTATGGATGGCCACTTTCTAAAGAAAATTGTTTTATTTTTCATATGTTGCCTTATAAATTGCTCCTTTGAGCAGGCCCTATAGCACATGTTGGACGGCCACTTTTCAAATTCTGGCTCAAAGCCTGTGCCAAGAGCAGGAAAACGTGTACGACTCGATCAANTGTTTATTATATGGCAAAGAAGAAAACTTTAATTCGTTTGATGTAACTGGTTTGCTGACATTTTGCTTGCAAACGGAGATGAGCTTAACTTAAACCTGCTGAAATTTGCTCATCCTCTTTACTTTTTTTTGCCATCAGGATTTTTGGCACTTCCATAAATGATTGAGAAGAAAATAAAAGAAAACGGTGAACATTTTTGATTTGCTACTTTTTCAACGCAAAATGAAACCCATCTAGATGCCGGTCTAAATGGGAAAATCTAGACCGCGCTTGATATCGATTTCAGCCAATCAAATTTGTGAATTTGGCAGTTTCCAGTCCTTGTGAGACACAGCCATATAATAATCTAAACGAAAGACCATCACAGTTAAATTAAATACACCACCTTTAATTTAAAAAGTTATGATAAAGCCTGAAAACAATGGACCTTTGCAGGGATACAACAGCCATTATGAATTCTGTTGTTTCAAATAGCTATTATGGGATGCTCAGGGGGCAAATACATACTAAGTTGCCTCCTGAGCATCCCATAAAAGCTATTGGAAACAATAGAATTCAAAATGGCTGCTATATCGCTGAAAAGGTCCATTCAGGCTTAAAAGGGATTCAAACCCATGACCCTGTAATACAGCAGACTTTTTCTGATTCTGTGTATGTATTTAGTCTTCTCTAGGCAAAAATTGCTCAAAATCATCGATTACAATTTGGTTTCCTTCAGCAATAAGCCAATTTCGTATTCTAGGTATTGAACTGGAACTAGCTTGCATTGAAGGCTCATGTGGGGAAATGTCATAAAAAAGATATTAATGCAATTTGCATTTGAAAAGACTCCCCTGATTAGCCTCAGTTACAAGGTGAAGAACTTTATCAAGTGAGTAGACCAGTTTCGTATTCTAGGTATTGAACCGGAACTAGCTTGCATTGAAGGCTCATGTGGGGAAATGTCATAAAAAGAGATTAATGTCATTTGCATTTGAAAAGACTCCCTGCATTAGCCTCAGTTACAAGCTAGTTCAGTCCAATATTAAGAATACAAAACTGGTCTATTCACTTGATAAAGTTCTTCACCTTGTTGTCCCAGTAGCATTTCGTAAAAACGTGAAGTAATTTTAGTCATAATTTTAGCACTAGTTTGACCAGTCTCTCAGACTGACACACACCTACATCATCTATCTGTCAGAGAGAGTGGGCCAGAAAGAGAGAGGGCAGAGAGAGGGCAAGTACTGGACTATCAAACAAGTATAGTAATACTGCACCTTGTGAGGCCTTGTGAAGAAAATTAAAATCCAGATGTACATTCCTGATAATGACAACCACACAGGCAACACTGAGGAGGGGACTAAATATCGAATGCAAGAAACTAATTAGCATTATGACGGAAATATCGAACATGAAGTTCTGGCCCCCAAATTGATGAATAAAATAGAACATAGCAAAAAATGAAGTATTCATTTCAAGAATGGAACAATGAGGCATAAACTAACTTATTTCTAGTAGTGAAGTCATTTGTTGTCAAGAGGAATGCTTGACCAAGTTTTGACCCTTGTGTAGAGTTTATTGAGTTAAGTAATTATGTTTCTAGAGTTACAGTACTGTAAGTACATGTAGCTTATTTTTAAAGAATAACTTTCAACTTAATTTGCAGGGGTTCCATTACCAGCACTAGGGCAACTGGTTTTCACAGGCAGGCCAAACTTTTTGAACTGAACTTCTTTTATTATAAGAAAAACTTTCCTCTAGATGGTCAAACAAGGCAAGCAAAATCCACCTCACAGCTGGTCAATTTGCCCAGTGCCCGGCCCTTAATGAAACCCCTGAATTTGTTGATTTTCCTTTTTTTTTTCAAATTCACCTACATTTTTTTTCCTGTGTCTGTGTTGTCACCAGCTTTACAAACATCTGCCACAAGTAAAATGTAGCAAAATTTAGACATTTTTAATTTATAGTTTATCAAGTTCATCCGTAAAACTGTTGTCTTCAAGTTCCCATGAGAAACTATTTTTGGTGTTATTTCAGGCAACTATTTATAACTTTTAATAGCTTTTAGAAAATGCAAAAAAGACTGTAAAATACTGAAAATCATTCTTGTATAAGGTTTATGCCCACTAAAAACTGAAATTGCTTGATTTCCTATCGGATTTCATATTAAGCATTTATTAAATAAATCATTTTGCAGAGAGACACAGAAACTCAATGGCACAAACTGTCTTTCAAAGCCTAAATCAGTCTTGATATAACTGCAGCCTGCATTGCTCACAAAATTTACCACTTGTATCCTAGGGTTCATGTAATATAACTTTCCATTTGCAATAATGGCTCGGGTGTTTTTGATAGTACATTCAGTCATTGATAATACTTACGCAAGCTGGCAGAGCAAGGAGTGCCATGGGAAATACAAGGTTGAAGTTTAAAAACCCATTCAGGAAGTAAAATGTCCATGGTTCTACACCTGTGGTATAAAATGCTAAAATATCAGTGTGTGCTCTACATACATAGTGATCATAGTGGTCATAGCTTATCACTTTTTGTATTTGCTTGTTTTGTCTCTATAAAATTACATGTAATTTAATTCAAGGGATATCTGTAATTTAAGTGTAACTGCAGGGCAAAAAAAAAAAAACAGGAGGCCTCATGGTTGGCATGCTTGTCTCCGGATCGAGTGATCCAGGTTTGAACCCTGGCTGGGGACGTTGTGCTGTGTTCTTGGGCAAGACACTTTGCTCTCAGTGCCTCTCTCTACCCAGGTGTATAAATGGGTACCAGCAAACTTATTGCAAAGGGTGACCCTGCGATGAACTGGCATCCCATGGAGGGGGGAGTAGAAATACTCCTAGTTGCTTCATGCTACGGAAATCGGGATAAGCTCTGGCCTGATGGGCCACTTGGCTTGAATTCAGACTCAACCATTTTCCCTGTAGGGCAAAAAACTTTTCCCCATCTGCATGTCTGAGACAGGTTGACCAAAACTTTTTGCAAGTAATGTAGTTAAAGCAAGGTCCTGACTGAGCAAAGTGTCTTGTGGAACTGATCAGACTTTCACTTAAAGCTCTAAATCCACTAACCCTTCAGTCAGACAGGTCTTCCCTAATTTCTTTTTAAATTTAAATAACCCTTGATATAAAATTCACGAAAGAGTGCTAATGAGCTTCCTTTGTGATGTTAAAAATACCTCGGGAAACTGCTCCAAATATCAGACTGCACTACACACTACAGTATGTAAATCAATTCATGATAATTTGTCAACATTTACTTTAGGGCCTTTCTTGAAAAAGAAAACGTTTCTACAACATGTACATATAGCTGAGTGTGTAAATGTGAAACCTTGTTTTAGCCTCACCATAGAGACTTGGACCTCCTTTTCCAAACACATTGTACAAGACTATACCCAGAGGAGCAATCACTGTCTTGCCATAGAAAAAAGAATCTATATAAACTAGTGGACCCTGAAAAGAACAAAAGAAGAAATTTGGTTACAACAATTTTTAGTGTTACTGAATTTATTGCACAGAATTATACAATTTATTCAGTGCTATAGTTTTGGAATTAATTTAGAAAAGATGCCCATGAACATTGAGCATTGAACATTGCACAAAACTAGCGTGTGAACAGGCTCACATTTGGATCACATTACATTAAGTGGCGAGGCTGTGAAAAAGATCCCTTTCAGTTCTGCCCCAGATTCATTGCAGGCTCATTCTTGCAGCTATATACCACTGATGTGTGTGATCTCAAATGTGGGAAACATATAGGTGCTGATTACAACCTCATATTACTGAATAAATGACAACCGTAACTATGGTAACCTTGACCATGATAGCATGTAAAAAGTAATAAATCAAAAAATGAGAAAAATTTCCTGTTTCTATAAGTTCTAGTAATAAATCTTCTAGACAGACAAGTGTTCTATCACAAATGCCATTCTCTGATTGGCTGCACCACTCACTATCTATTCTGTTGTAGATAGTGAGTAGCTTAGCAGTATGCGGTTGTTAATGAAGTGTCTGTGAAGAGGATTTAGATAAAGTTTTCAACAACTAGTAGATTTAGACTAAAACAATTAGATTTTTGCTCTCAATTTGTATGCATGATTGAAATCTTGGGCTCATAATCTAATTGTTGAATAGGAACAAAAAATAATGGAAGTTTGGGAGAATTAGAAATACTGTGTCATTGGAAACATGAGTGAATCAGTATTTATAACTCCTAAAATCATGAAGAAAACGTACTATTCTTATTTGTTTTCACATTGGAATAGAAAGCAAAATAGAAAGCACTTGTTTGCTACAATTTATCACAAAATAAACTCTCATTGGCCACAGAATCAGCAAGACAACTATTTGCATTGGCTAAGGGTTTCCATCAGAGTTCTAAGACAGCCTTTTGCTTGCATTTCCCAACTCACTTACCAAAAATACTATAAGTGATATAAGGCATAATTGCACAAAATACATTATTCTTCTTTGACGAACTAAAATATCCCACGCAATAGGAACCCTGAAAAAAAGCAAAACAGCCAGAAATTATTTCGTTTAACATACCAAGTTAAGAGACAGTGCTGCTTTGCATTTTACAGGCACTGACTTCAAGAAAGTTGAACTGGCTTGTATGTCACAGTAGAGTAATTTAGATGAAATTTGACGTGGTTGGAAATGTGATGACATGCTGCCTAAATTACCTGGGATACATGTACATGTATTTGTTCAGTCAGAACAAAACTGAAGGAAAGAACAGAAACAAAAAGTCACAAAAACGTATGTTAACTAGATACCAATTTTCAAACAAGGTCACTGTAAGTTAGGATTTCTTCTCTTTAATCAATGATTAGAAATATTTCATATCAAATAAGTTTGAGAAATATATCTGACTCATGATTCAGAGGTAATTTAACAGCAACTAGAAATTCTATTCAAGCTGCTACAAATCTTTTCTTGCTTGCAATGAATTATGAACTTTAATTTATAAATATTTTCATATAAAATTTTTTACAGAAAACAAGTCAGCACAAAGATTTCCCTTGACGCGAAGAGTCATCCATTACTGCATAACAAGACACACCGTAATGATTCTATTTAGCGCTCTCCTTTTAATAACCACTCCCTTTCAAATAAGCACCCCCCTTCAAATGTGTTTTTATTAATAAGCGCCCTTATTCCAATAAGCGCCCCCATTCTAAGAATTATAATATTACAGTGCTGCCAGAGTACAGTGTATGTATCAATGGAGGTTCATCTTCCTTAATTTGCTCACATACATAAGGCCGCATTACAAAAACAGTCACTGTGGTCTTCGTCTGAGTTTCCCAACTATTCTGTCCGTGTGAGTACAGAATTCCTTCAAACGAATGATCTCTTCTTCAAGTTTTGTTTCGAACATTCAGCTGTTTCTCAAAAAAGAAATAAACACCCTGTCCCAAATAAGTGCCCTGTCTTGAATAAACACCCTTCCTTGCGATACCAAAAGTAAATAAGTTCCCTGGCACTAAACTGAATCATTACGGTAACTGTAAATTAACAACTCTCTAACTTCAACTACAACTAGTAAACTGTGAGTGAATTTATGAAACATCACATATTTGCACTGTGAGAGAGATATGTCAAGACAGAAGGGATCATTGCAGTTATGTATGAAACTTAAGCAGTCATGGAAATAAAACCTTAAAAGGAACCTCACTCAAGCTCAAGCCTGAATCCACCAATCTTAAGTCCAGCACTTTTTCCAAGCTTTATTTTTGCAACTGCTTGAGTTACACAGTCACATAACTGTGATGGTCTGCCATGTCATTATATACAGCTACACGACTGCAAAGTAAAAAAGATCGTCCTTACCCAAGAATTGCACTAAATGGCCAGCCAATGAGTGCACCAGCTGCTGTTGCTAAAACAGCAACCTTTAGGGAGAGTAATATTCATAGTGTTATTAATAATAATCATAACTATTTAAGTTACTAGTATCAAAGATAATTTAAAACAATGTGTGCAGAGGTCAAGATTTGTTGCAAAGCTGCAAATACTGCAATAACTGTTTATTCTCATGAAAAATTACAATGTCACACAGTCAATAATTTAATTCAACTGAAGCTCTCAAAAGTACATAATGTACACTTCTCAAAGATACAAAGTCACTGCCAGCCAATAATAATATTGGGATAGCTCATGAGATTCAGCTACTGTAGCACAAAGACACCAAGAAACTAAGACAGACTGATGAAAGAAAAAAAGAACTTACGGCATAATTTCCTGCAAACCATCCACCATAGGACAAGAGAACCATGTACATTGCAAATGTACTTGGCAGGAATGCTTCAAAGAACAACAAACACAATTTTCAGAGACTATTGAATGAGGTATCTTCATATTTATGAAAATATGTATTGTTTTACACTGTGAAAATGCTAATCTTTTACTTGTTATGAACAGTCCTCATTCCATAGTCACCAAAAAACATAAAAAAAAAAAGTGTCAGATGGTTGTGGTTTGTGTGTCTTTACCGTCACTTAAAAGTAATAACTTGTCTGAGTAAGAATTTTTTTGGTGGGGAAAGATTACTTAGAATGACTTTCAGGTTACTTCATCAAGGTTACAGCTTGCCCAAAGGACAAGGAAGAAAACTGGTCTTCTTTACACCCATTACATTGCGGTTAACTTGCAAATTTTGGTTTGTTGTGGCACACCATGAATATTCCACTTATGATTTGATTTAGACAGGAGGGGGGGGGGGGGTATCTTTATGCATGTACACACTTATTTCATAGTTCAAACATGTGTATACTGCAGAATCAGAAAACACTGTTATCTAATTTGTTTGCTAAGTTACTCTCACAGTGCCTCTCTCCACCCAGGTGTATTTAAATGGGTACTGGGAAACTTAATGCTGGGGGTAGCCCTGTGATGGACTAGCATCCCATCCAAGGGGGAGTAGAAATATCCCTAGTCGCTTGATGCTACATAGAGCGGAGTAAGCTCTGACCTGATGGTCCACTTGGCCCATATGCAGACTTTACCATGTCTAACTAGAACACACTGTTTTTAACAAGAAAAAACTGTTTTCAACTAGTTTGTAACAATTTTAAAATCTCCAACTCACCAGCTGCAGATATAAACATCCCTGTGCTAAATATCAAGAAAACAACGGCTATCCTTGCAACATGGTTGCCAAATTGTTTCATTATTCCCCTAAAAAGAAAACAGAATAGCAAAATTAACCTGTTGTATAATTTGTTCCCTCAAGTCTGTTGATTACCGGAAGCATTACATCCACACACCTGTAAAAATATGTTTCACAAGCAGCACATGCTATTGAAAGAACAAATCGTAGGAAGTAGAACACCAGCAACTGCAATTAAAATGAAAAAATCTTGCAATTATAATAAATATATAATAATATCTTTTCTTCATAAAATGGAAGGCACACTTTGTTATCTGTGTGCAACATTTAAATCTGGCAATTTCTTAAGTGTTTTATCAGTCAAACAAATTAAACATTAAAAATGGATGGAACACTGTCATGATAACACAAACAATGGTTTTCACAACATCAACAACGATAAATTGTCTTTAAAAAAATCAAGGTCTTTTACCAGTAACGCAGTCATAAAGTCATAAGTGCAAGAGTATCCATAGGCAAACAAATTCCACTGAGAATAAGTCATTGCGCTTGTGTTCATTTTTCTCAGTACAGTCAGGGACTGTTTACTTGTGAACTTATACTTACCCAGCTTACTTTTAAATTATAATGAAAACCCTCTGTTTCCTCATGCTGTTTGACTCTGTGTACTGTACTTTCCAAACGCAAAGCGACTGACACAAAACTACATTTAAACTGAACAATGGTTAAACTCAACTACAAGTGAACAATACGTGTAACTACTACCGGTGGCTTAAATGTTTATAGCGTTGCACACATTCTGCATCCAGTCATAGTTTAATTATTCTGAGTGGTTCACAAATACAGTGCATGAATCTAGTATTACAACACCCTCATCTGTCACGTTGACTTCCATTTTCAAGAAAATGACTAATCTATTGTCACCATAACAACTAAACAGTCAATGAATGTAGTATTACTAGTCAGTACGGACGTACCTTGTTAGCTTCAAATATTTTTATTTGTATCTTCCCAGGAAAAGTGTGTAGAAGCAGGTAAGCATAGGATCTAATAGCATACTTGGGTGAATACTCCCAGGTTTGAAAACCAGATCCAAACATCAGGAAGTGCATCTAAGGGTTAAAAACAAGGCTGATCAAAAATAAATAAATAAGACCTGCAATCCAGGCCAAACATCCAGGAGGGATCCGGAGGAGGTGGGGGGATATGTATTCCTCTCTTTACAGTTAGGTGAGCTGTAAAAACACTAGAAAAGTAAGAAAGGTTCCAAGACTTTTGGCCAGGATTGTACCTATCAGTTAAGTATCTTCGTCTCGACATTGGTGTCAGAGTTTGTTTGGCATCAGCTCCTAATTTCATTGGAAAAATTTGCAAGGGGCAATTCCAGGAAAAAATCCACACCCCTTGAAAAGACGGCATACTGTAATAGGCCCTTTGCATGGCTGTGTCACGTGACCTGGTCAATTATAAAAAGCCAGAATAAAAAAAAAATAGTAAGACGACATTATATTGTGAGATTTTAGGACAGTTTAATAGTTTGAGAATTTTAAACAATTTGTATGCTGGATGGAAAAGCTAACCATCCAGTAGCATATCTCCATACAAGTCTTGATAATTTTTCAAACATTTAGATAATCGTAACATCTCACAAAATTGGAAATCTTACTTATTTCATCATACTCTTTCCCTTTCTGGTATCTATTTCAACCAGAACCATTTTTTACGATTGCCAAGGTCACGTCACATGGCCATGCAACAGACCCCTTCTTCTAGGAAGGGAGCAGGGGTTCAAGGACTGCGAAAATCCACATGGACCAAACAAAAAATTCTCTTTCACTGTACCAGAGGTATCATTTGGGAGTTTAAGCAAATCACTACGGCTGGTGCTACTAAGGCTGCCGTGACTGAAAAAGTCTGGGGAGAGTACATCTCGGTGGTCTGCCAAATTCTTAAGTTTAGCGAGTAAAGCGAAATACAAAGATGAAAGAAACATCGTCTAAGGAGTTTAAAATCTCTTTTATTTAGTTTCTCACAGCCAAATGGCTTCGCTCAAAGGACGATGGCCGTTATTTGCCTTACTAGGATAAATAGATTATTTCTGAGTGAAAGCGAATGCCAGACACTTCCATAACAATTTGATGGATGAAATATATAATTTCTGAGAAAAATATCTCAAAGAATATCGAGTGAAGAACACAAATATATCAATACTCAAAGAAGCAAAATAGCATCGTATAGTTATCCAGATATAAAACATCTTCACT